CTTCTAAGGTTGCACCAAAAGGCAAGAAGGTGATTACCACCTAAGATAGCCAGTAATTGTTATTGTCTAGTTTTAAGGAAGGGAAATCAGCTGGATCTGGCCCAAGTAGAAAGTAGCATTTGCTATAAGGATACAGTCTGAGAAGGGGAGGGCAGCAGGGCACAGGGAAGGGCTGGGATGAGGAACTGATGTGACCTGGGACTTCAGTGTCCCTCCTAGACTCGCTGTCTACTGCAGGTCAGTTCTGTGCTTACTCTGGCTTGTGTGGCAGAACACTTCCACCCATCACTACAGAGATGGAAGCCCTTCTGATGTTCTCAGGAGGTCCAAGGTCAGCCCAAGGTCAGCCATGGTCCTATGACTTTAGAATGTTCTCCTTTGTTTATGATGGAGAGGTCAATCTCAATGAGAACCCCCCTCCCCCTATCTCCTATGGCCTCCTCCCATCTGGCCATAACCACCTTTGTGATCTGATCACATCCCTGTTTGCTCCTTCCTGCTGTTGTTTGGCTGTGATTTGCTCCCCAGTGGTTTGTGTGCTGGAAGCTGGCTTCCCAATGTGTTGGTATTGAAGTGGTGGAAGTTGATTAGGAAAGTGATTGGATCATGAGGACACAGTCCCTAGAGGGAATTAATGTAGTTTTGTGGGACCCCAGTTAGTTTTTACAAAAGTGAGTTCTACAAAGAAAGGGATAGGTTAGGAATGGTCAAGTTATTAAAGATCTGAATTTACATCTCATTTTAAAGGAAATAGTTTTTAATCCAAGTATAGAATAAACAATAGCACAATTGAAAGCTATTCAGTTCAGTAAGCCTGGCTCCCGAATCTCTCCAGCTTTGTGTCTCAGCATGTGAACTCTTCTGCTCCTGTGCCTACCCCCATGTCACCATGTTGCAATGAAACCAGGGGTCAGGAGGGGGAGGGGGAAGGGGGGCGGATCTCACCAGAAGCCCAATTACTGGTGTTGTCAAATCTTGGATTTGTAGTCTACAAAAATGTGACCTGAATAAACCTCTTTAAAATAAAGCACCCAGCCTCAGATAGTTTGTTATAGCGATAGGAAACTAATTGAACATAATTCATTTGTTCGCTCTGTCATTCTAGCCTTCTTGTCAGGCCTTTGAAAATTATAATCTCATTGTTACCTCAGGGCTCTTGCTCATGGCTCCTTTGATGTCTGGAAGCTGATTTTTATCTATCTTCTTATTGTTCACTCCCTGACTGAATCTTTTTTTTTTCCTTTAAAGAGTTCCTTCTTGAGCATCCTTTTCCAAACAATTCATTGCATTCATACTTATCTCTTACCAGCTTTACTTTTCTTCCTAATAGTTAAAATCACTTGGAATTACATTCATATACTTGACTTTCTGTTCATTTTTTCTCTACTGGAATGTAATCCATAGGCATAAAGACTTTATCCTGGTTTTGGCTATATTTTTAGCATGGATACTCAAAAGTTTATTGAGTGGAAGATTAAATGAATTGCAGATTTACTAGGAGGTATATACCTAAAAATGAGCCTTAACTTCAGTTTCCATTTTTTGAAAGTTGTAGCAAAAATTTATTTTAGTATAACAGGTTAAAGTAGAGAGAAGTAGAAAAACCAAGAGAAACAGGAGATCTGTTTTCCTCACAGAAAGTTTTCACCTGTAGCTTTTATGTTGTGAGGTGAGCAAATACATGCAATCATATCATCTAGCAACTCTTAATACTTAAATAATCCCTCCACCCTCAAAACACAGGTAACTTTTAAGATTTCCTTTTACCAGGTCATGCCTTTCTAGCTACTAATCCTGCTTTTCTACTCATTCATGAAGAGGTCCAGATCATCACCATTTCAAAGAAAGCAGATTTAGATAGCCCCTACCATATCTGCTAGCCTTGTAACATATGTTAGTATTTATATTCTCTATATTGTTTATTACTTGTTTATTACTTATTACTTTCAAAAGGAAATATAATTCAGATTTTTGATAGCCTAACATTCCCTAACTTACTCTTTAGTATACTTCTCACAAACCCACTGATAGTACAGTAAGTTAGTGAGGTTTTGTTCTTCATTCAAGACAGGAAATTGTTAATATTAATAGAATCTGATGATCAATATACTTCCATGGTAAGAAAGGCATCAGCACAGAGTTGGTGTTCTGTGTTCTACTTTGAAAGGTTCTGTTTTAGTATCATTTGTTTACAAGTCTACCAATTCTTGTAAAAGTCATCTTTAGTTAAATCTTAACAGTAGCTCAAAATTATCATCAAGATAAAGACAGGAGCCAGGTGCTGGTGGCTCTTACCTGTAATCCTAGCAACTCAGGAGGCTGGGAGCTGAAGATTTAGGGTCAGTCTGGGCATAAAGTCTATGAAACTCTTTTTTTTCCCTCCTTGTCAGTTGGGGGCCTGAACTCAGGGCCTGGGCACTGTCCCTGAGCCACAGTGCCATTTCCAGTTTTCTGGTAGTTAATTGGAGGTAAGAATCTCATGGACTTTCCTGCCCAGGCAGGAACCATGATCCTCAGATCTCAGCCCTCTGAATAGCTAGGATTACAGGTGTGAGGCACTGGAGAAGGGCTCATGGGACTCTTCTCCAATTTAACACCAAAAAAAGCCAGAAGTGGAGCTGTGGCTCAAGTGGTAGAGTGCTATCCTTGAGAACAAAAGTCAGGGGTTACACTCAGGCATAAAAACAAATAAGAAAACCCACCTTACCTTAGAAGTTGTTGCTTTTAGAGAGAAGTTGGCATGTTCTGGCAAAGTAGAATATTTATAGGTGCTAATGCTGTGATTTTCAATCTTAAGAGTGGTTTAGGTTTACCTGGAAGCTAAAATCCCTAGCTAACTAAACAAAAACAACCTATCAACCCATGTCAGCACCCCCTCCTCTACTGGCAATGTGAGCGCCCACAAATCTTGATTGTTATTAGTTTTTGATCATTCAATGGGGGTGCTACCTGTCACCAGCAGTGAGCACTGTTGTTCTCAGCCCTAAATGCAGTATGCAACTCTATTCTGTCTGGGATGGAGCTGTGTGGGTGGACTGGGGAATGCTTTCCCTGCTACTCTTAGCCCAGACAGGGAAGATGTTATGTTAGTGCCTACTTTCTCATGTCCAGTTTTCAGGGGGCCTTTAACCTTTTCCTGTGCCCACAGTTCAGCTGTCAGTTCATTTGGAATAATGAAGCTGGTGTGTTGGAAATAAAATTGGGGAGAGGAGGGACAAGCCCCTGGCTCCCAGCAATCCATTTTTGGTAAACAATTGTCTAGCCTGAAAGGAAATTTTGCTGGGTGAATGTGGAAAGTTACTAAAAAAAAAAATCTTTCCGTGCCTCAGTTTCCTCATCTGCAAAATGTTAACGGTATTAATACCAACCCACAAAACCTGATGTGAGGATTCAATATGTAAAGCATTTGAAGAGTGCCTGGCACACATAGGTAGTTATTGTACACAAAAGCAGTTATTATGATCATAATTTATCCATGTCTAGTTCTTGAATTTATTAACAGGTGAGGAAGAGTTCTACACAAAGGAAGCAAATAACAAAAGAATTCTGACTGGTTGTCTTGCAGTTAGTTTTGAGAAATATATTGAGCTATGGAATCTTCATTGGTATATATGTATAGCTTCTGTACCCTATGGCAGTGTTTAATTTAGGCCATCTATTTAAGAGGTACAAATTTTGAAAATATCCCTTTCTGGGCTGTACAACCACTCTTGTATATATAAGACTATTGAGAAATGATGGAAATGCGCAGGAGCCACTGCACTGCAGGGAAGAAACAAGTGCTTCTCTCATTGACTAGTTAATTCAGCACATTAATGAATGAATGCAGCAAACATTTAATAATAAACTCAGTGCCAGATGTTGTGCTAGGAAATAGAGATACCACAGGGAGAAGGTGCTATGCATGCCCTCATGAAGCTCACAGTCCACCGAGTTTGGAGATGAGGGCTTTATCTAATTTAAGTGACAAAGCAGAGCTGTGAAGGCTGATTTGGTTCTCTTAACTTCAATGTTTGGGAGTTTCCCATTGCACTTTAAAGGCTTGTAGCTCCACCATAATAGATGAGGACGCTAGGGATGGTTTGGATTCATTTTTCTTCTCAAGGGCCTCCAGTTAGAGAAGGCTAACTGGTTAAGCACTTTATTTATTCATTCAGTGCAAATAAGCTTATTGCCTGGCACACACACAAAATGAAACAGCACATTTTAAAAAATTAAAATGCAACAGAAATTGATGAGGTCATTTTAGTACCATTAGGTAGTTAAAAATTCCTTCATACCTGCCCAAGCCAGGATAGCCTAATTGCCCTGCATAGTCAGAAGAAACTTTCCTTTTCATCCCCTGGCAGTTCAGACTTTTCACCTCCACAGGGACTTGTCTGAACTGACTAAATGTCAAATTCACAGAGTGTTTTCTTCTTTTTTTTTTTATTTTTGGAAGTTTCTTATTGAAGACTTAAAAGGGTGTTTTTGTTTTGCTTTGCTTTAAAGTTTTACTAAATCCTTGAAAACTTCTGGATGGCTTAAAATTATTTTTCCATTTAGCTTTTTGTTTTGTTTTTGCTTGTTAGTTTGCCACTTCTAGGGCTTGGACTTAGGGGCCTGGGTACTATCTTTTAACTTTTTTGCTCAAGGCTATCATTCTACCAGTTGAGCCACAGCTCTATTTCTTCCTTTTTGGTAGCTAATTGGAAATAATTGTCAGGACTAGCTTTCAGTCTCACTCCTCAGTTCCCAGCCTCCTGAGTAGTTTAGGACTACAGGCATGAGCAAGCAGTGCTTCATTTAGGACTTTTTGTTGTTGTTTGCTGCTGATGTTCTGTTTGTTCTTTTCAGTCATGAGGCTTGAACTCAGGGCCTGTGCACTTAGCTTTTTTTGCTCAAGGCTAGTGCTCTACCACATTGAGCCACAGTACCACTTCCAGTTTTCTGGTGGTTGATTGGAGATAAGAGTCACATAGACTTTCCTGCCTGGGCTGGCTTTGAACCATAATCTCAGATCTCAGCTTCCTGAGTAGCTAGGATTACAGGCATGAGCCACCAGTGCCTAACTCTATTCAGTTTTTAAAAAACTCTAAAATCTACTTTATAATCTGAGAAGTATTAATATTTTGAGTTTTAATTCACAATGGTCTGATATGCCAGACATTATTCCACATCTTTTTTTTTGAGGTTTTTCTGTTATGTAAAACTTATGAAAATGTGGCCTAAGTGAGCTGAGTACTTAGCATAGCATCACTGACTTTTCTTTAAAACAACACTTTATTTATATCAATGCATATTTGTATTTGTATTGTTTTATAGGTTCTAATTTATTCTTAAAAGTATAGTGTAGTGGAGGGTCTGAAAATGGATGCCAGTGTGCCCTTGTATAGACCCTTTTCATTGGCTAGCATCCGGCACACAGCTTGCTTCCACAAAATAGGATGTGGCAGAAGTGTAGAGTCGGTTCTCTGACTAGAGATTGGCAGAGTTTGTTAGTTAGAGGCTTGGGCAGGTATGCAGGAAATTTCACTACCCTGTCATGGAGACCTTTGTGAAGAGGCATGGAGAGCTGGCAGGGTGCAGTTGGCACCATATCCTGATCGGGCCTTCAAAGGACTACAGATCTAGTCACTGTCTGATTTCAACTACATGACAGATGTGCAGAGACCAGCAGAAGAGCCACCTTGTTGGCCCAACCACACACAGAATGGTGAGGAAGAAAATGATGGTTGTTTCAGCCCGTCAGTGTGGAGGCGGTTCTACAGCCGAGGTGAACAGCGGGTGTGATACCCGCTGTAATCCCCATAGTTTACCAGAGTGAATCACTTTGAGATTCATATGCGAACTTGATGGATTTTAGTTTTCACCAGAAAACCTAGCTTTCAATACCCTCACTATTTGGGGGGAGTGAGTGGCATTCTTATTCTTGGTCAAAAAACTCATCATAAAGTAGGATTTTCTCAGTCCTAGTTCTCACAAGAGCGCGTGGTTTTGTCTCATCTTTCTCCAGCTCATCTGAGTTTGAGCTCCAACTGTCCCAAAGGAGCTGTCTCCCAGCCTCTTTTTCATGGAGCCATGTTTCCATTTTGCCATTTTGTTGGTGATAATACTCATTTCTTGCTTGATAGTCCAAAAGTTCTGTAGCATGAGAATTTCCTATGAAAGATGAGAAGGTATTTTAATTTGATTTTTTTCTAACAATGATTGTTTTATTACATGCCTAGATTTTTATGAACACAGAAGAATCTGCTTGATATTTTTATATATTCCAGCTAAACGTTTTTCAGTTGTTACTTTCACAAAGGTGGAATACCCTGAATATCACAAGACTAGTAGAATATACATCTATATCCCCAACCCATCCACAATGTTTTGCCACAATGTTGCTTTCAGCTGAACCACTCAAAAATTAATTGCAGGTACTCCTAAATATATTACTATAATCTTTCAAGAATGAAGACTTTTTTCTTACATAATTACAATAAAACCTTACATTTAGGAAATACAATACTGGTAGAATATATGCTCATAGAGGATCCATATTCAAATATCTATGATTATTCCAGCAATACTTTTTATGACTACTTTTTGTTTGCTTGCATTTGGATCTTTTAGGTCCTGGGCCCAATCTTGAATTATCTATTGCATCTTTTTCTTTTTGTCTCTCTTCAAAGCTATGTATGCATGTACATACACATATGTAAGCATGCAGGTATGTGTCTAATGTGCTGGTAGAGATGGAGTCTCTCAGACTGTTCTGCTCAGGCTGGCTTCAAACCTCAATCTTCCAGGTCTCAGCCTCTGAGTAGCTAGGATTACAGATGTTAGCCACCAGTGCTCAGCTTTATATTTTTCATTAGAGGATACCTGTTTGTTTTTTGCTGTGGAATTTGATTTACTTTAGCTTTTTATTTAAGAAGTGCCCACCATCCTTTTAGAGTCTACAGAACAATGAATGTGTTACTGCAGACCATTCCCTCCAAAGGGTCTTAAATAAATGCAATCTCATTTTAGTGAGAAGAATTAAAATTGCCCTCTCTCATGCTAGCAAAATCTTCCCTTTCTAAGCTCATTTTGTCATGTGTATTCACACACAGAGTTATTAAAAAGAAAAGGTTTCTCATAAAGTTTGGGTGTTGAGAACTTGCAAAGGTTATTAAGTTCATCTATGTTGGATTAATCCTCAAAATCACTCAGAAAAATTTTCAACTGTAAGATAACACCTCCTCCCACCAATCCCCAGAGATTCTGATTCAGGAAGATGAAGTTGGGACTGGTTCCCCAATGAGTTGCTGTTTATGACCTGTTTGTACCTGTTGACATAGCCATACCTCCCTGTCTCCAGCAGGACTTGACTCCTGAATAAGCTACTCTTTCTGCCCCCTTGACCTCCTGAGATCAAAGGCAAAGGATTATGTAGGCCAATGTCTGAAAGCTGCTTCCACATCCATTCAGAACTTCCAGAGTATAGATTTTTCTTAAAGGATCAAGAGCCATTTAAAGGTGAAGAGTCACTGCTTTTCAGATCTGTAGGCTTTCCTAAGGTGGTGGGCCTAGAGCCTCGAGTCATCCGCATACTGATGAAGCTGTAAGTGAGTAGATAAAAACAATTCTGGTCTTGAATCCTGCCTCTGTCACAGAGGTGATGGTAACTCCTACCTTCCATGCTGCATAGGAGTTGAGGGGACCACAGTACTGGCTTATAATGAGCACTCAACAAACCATAGCTGGATTGTTAGGAAGGCTCAGGAGAGCAAAAGAAAACTCCCGTCTCCACATGCCATAGTCTCTCCTGGGCCACTCCAAACCTGGGGCATCTGCCAAATCCTTTGCCAGTATTGGTTTTCTAGGCATGCTGTCATGTGATGACTGTCAGTGCCTAACTTTCACAGAGGCCCTTTCCTTGGTGGTTTTGACAGTATTTTTTCAATTATGAAAGTTGTTTGTATATATGACTGCAAAATAGATCTCATTCTGAGACTTGAAAGCGTTGGGTGAAATGGATGCCCTGAGTAGAGTTTCAATTATTCAGCCTTTTCTTATTTAATCACCTTATTGATTAAGCATCTTGTTCTCTGAGCAGAGACAAAATCTATTTTAGCAGGTGATTTTGCACTTAGAACTTAAGACCTCCAGAGACACAGCCAGCATTTCTGCAGCGCTCCAAGTGATCAGTACTGCTGATGTGAAGATTTGGTCTACAGCACAGCAATTGTGTGTGAACAATATGGATCATTTGCAACCTTGGGGAAATATGGACAGGAAGAACTTAAGGGGCTCTCTAATGGGTGGGGCAGTGCAATAGAGAGTTATGAAAACAGATGGCCGCTGGAAAGCACAGAACAACCCAAGGCTGAGTTTGCCATTGGGTGTATGAAAGGCTGGAAGCCAGAGATGGAGATAGGAAGATAGGCAGCAGCAGGCTCCTAAAAGGCCTAGGTCCATATTAAGGAGTTTAGCTTTTGTTTTCAGGTCAATGGGGACTACCCAAATGAGACTGTTTTTTCCCTCTTCTGAACTTGAACTCAAGGCCTGGGTGCTGTCCCTGAGCCTCTTTGTACTCAAGGTTAGTGCTCTACCACTTGAGCCACAGCACTACTTCTGGCTTTTTCTGACTAGTTTATTGGAGATAAGAGTCTCATGGACTTTCCTGCTGATCCTCAGTTTTCAACCCCGTGAGTAGTTAGGATTACAAGCAAGAGCCACCATTGCCTGGCTGTGGTTTGTTTGTGTTTAGGAAGGAGAGTGACATGAGCAGAGTTGCATTTTTACCATTGGTACAGTGCTTCTAGAATGTCCATATGGGTGAGAATCACTTGAGGATCTTGATAAATGATCCTGATTCAGAAGGTGTGGGTGGAACTTGAAATTTGTTCTTGCATTTGTGCTCCCAGGTGATTACAATACTGCCAGACATTGGGAATACTGGAATATTTTCATCAGCCAGAAGAGTAAAGAAATATTCCTAGTTCCTTGTTTCTTAAGGTGTGTTTTTTTTTTTTTTTGCCAGTCCTGGGTCTTGAACTCAGGGCTGGACACTGTCCCTGAGCTTCTTTTGCTCAAGGCTAGCACTCTACCACTTGAGCCACAGCTCCTCTTTTGGCTTTTTCTATTTATGTGATACTGAGGAATGGAAGCCAGGGCTTCATGCATGCTAGGCAAGCACTCCACTACTAGGCCACATTCCCAGCCCCTGTTTCTTAAGTTCTGGGGCTATTTAGGACCCTCCTAGAAGGCTGATTAAATCCAGGTTGCTGGTCCTCATCCAGAAATTTCCATTTCAGTCACTCTGACTGAAGCTGAGTGTGTCTCCAGCTGGCTGGCCTGAAGCCACATTGAGAACCGCTGAAGTGAATGTCGAAGGGGAGGTAGGTAAGACCTGAAGTGGAGAACCTGGTCAGGTGGCCCTGGAGTGACAGGCTGAGGACCAGATCCAAGGCAAAACCATTAGGAAAGAAGGAGATGGCAGATTCCAGCACTAGAGAACATTAACAGTCCTGTGTGCTACTACTCTTCCGTAATAATAGAGATGTTAATGGTCTTAACACTTACCTGGCTAGGAGAGGGAGAGAAGGGATGAAGAGGGCTCTGGCTTGAGTAACATGGCCTGGAGGCGGGGGGCACCCACTGAGACAATGGAGGAGCAGTGTAGGGAGGGCCGTGGTGTTGGATTCATTTTCAGTGTTCTAAATGTGTCCCTGAGTGCTGACACTAGGGGCTGTGTGAGCAGACATGTGCATAGGACCCCACACCAGCACATGCAATTCCAACACATGCCACAGCAAGTTAATGTGTCCCCATGAGCTTCATTCTCTAGAAAATGAAGCTATTTTTTTTCCCTCCTGGGAACAGGACAAGGACTCCCATAATGCATGTAAGGTATGTTGAAGGCATAAAAGAAGAGAGAGAAAATATCTTATTACAGAGCTTCCGTCTTGTCCTCCTAGGATCCAAAATTATGTGACAACATTCTCACTGTATTCTGAGATGTAAAATACCAGCAAAACACGGAGATTGTTTTCTGTCTTCTCACTTTCTTCACTAGACGCACAGCCTGGGAGTTTACTTGAAGTTTGGAAAACATTTGAAATACTCTCTTCTACAAAAATATGATTTACCTGAACGTCTGTTCATGGTTTCATCAGGCAATATGGTTAGAACATCATAGTCTCCATTCTTTGGAATGCTTTCAAGTGTTTTCTTGGCTTTATGATTTCTCTGTTTTTGCTTATTGTTCTTTGCTTCCCTGGGAAGATTTTTCTTCAGTTCCACCTGGGCCTAAAAATGAACAGCCATAAGTAGTTAATGTTTTCACTAACTCCCTTTGCTAGAACACATCAGCCCTTCCACCACTTGGCAACTTGTAGCCTGTCCATAGACACCTGTAATCCCTGAACACAATATTTTTTTCCCCTCCTATTAGAAGGTATGAGATCTTTTTTTGTCTCAGGCTTATTGGGAGGGAAAGGTGCCCACATGCTCAAAGAAGTATAGCTTCCTTACGATGAGGATGGAATGGCAGATGGCAATAGGTTTGGGCTCGTTCCTTTACAGGGGAGACTACAGAGTCTGACAGCTACAGGACATTATTAAAAGAATTGGTTACGAGAGGTCTGTTATGAATGTGTCCCCTCAAATTCATATGTTGAAAAGTGTGTGTGTGCGTGTGTGTGTGTGCACGCGTGTGTGCATGTCCCTATACTGGGGCTTGAACTTTGGGCTAGGCTGTCTCATAGTTTTTTTACTCAAGACTAGCATTCTACCACTTGAGCCCCATCTCCACTTACGGCTTTTTGGTCGTTAATGGAAGATAAAGAGTTTTAGAGACTTTCTTGTCCAGGCTGGCTTTAGCCATGATCCTCAGATCTCTGCCTCTTGAGTAGCTAAGATTACAAGTAGGAGCCATTAGTGTCTATATATAACATTGGAAACTTAATCCTCAAATTCATATGTTGATGGTATTTGGAGGAAGAGTCCTTTAAGAGACATTTAGGGCTCTAGCCTCTAGGCAGATTAAGGCCTCGATCACAGGAGTGGGTTATTTAAAGAGTGGGTTATTGTGAAAACAAGTTCCATGGCTGTAGCCTTGTCTTATTCCTGTCTTCTCACTCTCCTTGTACCCAATGTCTATGAGATATTCTCTATTATGTTATGACACAGTATGAAGGCCCCAATTAGATGCCAATGAGTTACACTTGTCTTAGACTTCCCAGCCTGCAGAATTATGAAAGAAAAAAGTCTTTATAATTGCCCAGTTTCTGTATACCAGCAGAAAATAGACCAAGACAGAAAGCTGATTGGATAATTATGCAGCATGAATTATAGAGAGAGGCCTAGGTATCAAAATAAACATCCCACCCCTCCCCACTTACTAAACCAAGAAACATCATCATATTTTCCCACTGGAGCCAGAATATCAGAGGAGCAACCTGTCTTTAAAAGGAGACATTCCAAGCCTCTGTATATCCTTGAGAGGACTGAAAACAGATTCAACCCGGCTGTTAGCTTCAGTCGTTGAATCTTTGATTCCAAAATGCTAAGTACTGACTGCTAAATCGTCTATTCTCGACAGTAGTCATGTGTCGGGGTTGCAATTATGTGGTACAAATTTGGTCAATATGACACTTTTATTTACCTCTTGTCTTTTACGGTTGATTTCCAGCATCTGCATCTTATGCAAATATTGTCTTTTCCCAGAAGTATAAATGGAAGTTGGCATTTTCTTTTCTAGTTCCTGCCATGAAAGATGACATACTCAATTAGTATGGGGTAATTTTTTACTGATGATGTGTAATCTACATTGTTAAGTCCTTTTTGGAACAGAGTAAGACCATAATCCATCCTAATCTATACAGATCTTTTTGAGGATACAGATAAAGTATTGTGTGGCTTTAGCAAGTATCATTATTAGTGAATGAAATGGCATTCTGCTATATATATTACATAGTTGCAAAGGTCCTTAAAGAGTTTTGCAAACGTGGCATCCAAGAGTTTTGACAAGTTCATTAAAATTTCATTTCCTTTACCAGGAGATATTTATTACTAATTCTCCAGAGATATTTTCTGGTTTGATGAGTCCTTTCGTTCTCTCCTTACCATTGACTGATGGTCAGGTTATGAAATGAGAAGAGAACCACTGAATGGTTAAATAGGATAGATTTCTCCATGGTGTAGTCTCACATGCTCATGTAAGCCACCAGGTGCCTTGCAGCTAAGGATGTGAATTTGATAATCTATGACTCTGGTGGTCTCCCTGAGGTAATTCATGAACTTCAGTTGGGACAGTGCAGACAGTTTTTGAGGGCAAGTGAAGGTGACTAAATCTCCATTTGTCACCTGCTGTTGCCAGCAAAGGAAGGGCTGCATCGAGTGATAGCTTTAGTGCTGCCCCAGGAACAGTGACTGTGTCAGCCAATGAAAGACTCAGGGAGGGGCCCACCTCCACTGTCAGCAGCACAAATGTGGCCTTGAGGACTTGATAATATCTGGGCATTGCTTACCCAATCAGCCAGCCACATAGCAACCACCTAGCCAGCTTCAAGATGAACTGTGTGTGTGTGTGTGAGAGAGAGAGAGAAATAGAGAGACAGAGACAGACAGAGAGAGAGACAGAAACAGAGACACAGAGAGACAGAGATGGAGACAGAGACAGACAGACAGAGAGACATGGAGACGGAGGGGGAATTCTCAACAGAACTTTACAAAGGTGTAGCAGTATCAAGATCCACAGAAGACCTTTCCTGGGATTAGATTTTGGTGAGGCCATGACAGAGGCAATAGGAACAAACTATAGATAGGTTTCGCTTGCAAACAGAATGAAGAGAAAGCTTTAAATGGAGAGAAGAATGAGAGAGGAGAGTTGTGGTGTATTTTTCACAGATTTGAACGTTTCTAGGACCATCAATTTCCATGTAACATTCCTCTCTCTCATCTACATGGCCATTTTCATCACAAAGCAGAAAGAGCCCAGAGTTCACCTAAGAGGAAAAAAGCAGTGCACAGCTAGAGAGAACAGACAGGCAGCCTTGCTGTGAAGACTTAACTATTTGTTGTGGCTCTGAGTTTTCTGTGTAGGAAAATCATGACAAGGGCCACTCACCACCCCATACAGCCCCATGGTTAGCCACCACCTCTGGCGACTGCCATAGCTCACCTTTGCATTGTGCCTTGTCCTGGCTTCTTGCCGGCCCAGGAACCTTTCAGAGGTAGTTACTTGTGGCAGGTCAATGGTCTCAAGCTTCTAGAAGTTTAACATTTAGAGTATTCATCATTTGTCATACCATGAGATGATGAAATATAAAAGCCAGATATTAAACTACTTTAGCACATTGCCAAAGCAGCATTTGTACCCACAAACATCCTGGGAAGGTGATTCCAACAGTTTAACAGTTACAGCTGTGCTAAAGGCTCTTCAGCCTGTTTGGTTGCTTCCTTTTTTGTTGCACTGTTATCAATGGCTTATTAATTGAAACCTTGCTCAGTGAGTTAAGAGACTAAGAGTCCTTTCTCTAAACTGAGGGGTCATGTCCAACATTATCACTTGGCCAGGCTCTTATGCTACTAGAGATTAAAGGGGCATCAGGAAGTGACTTTATTATCTCACCCAGTCCTCAGGGAAGTGACCTGAGAGACACTTCCTCAAACACCCCAGCGATAATCACAGATGACTCTGAGACTCGTAGCAAGGGAGAGTGCTTCTCTAACAGATCTCAAGAGATCTGTTAGACATCTTTAAGAGATGTTTTTTTTTTCTAACAGAGTTTGGATTTATGGTGGACACAATGCTGGAGCTTCAAAGATCACTTAGACTGAACACAATGCATGACTGTGGGTCTGCTTTTCTTACCTTGGATCACTTTATGCTTCTCAAGCTAAGCACTGGGGGCATGGAGGTGGGGGGCGGTCCTGACTGAGAAGGCATGGGAGAAAAGCTGGTTTTCTCACATTGATGTACCAAGAAGGACCTGGAGAGTTTATTTGCTCACTGCATACTGTTTGCCAGGTGTGGAGATGCAATGGTAATCAATCTTTGTGGAGCTTGTAACTATGCAACACAGACTTGTGTGGTTGTTTGGCTGAGAGTTGTGAAGAGTGCTCAGTGCTTGGAAGAAAAAGTCACTTGGGCATGAGTAGGGCAATAAATAACTCGAGGACACAAACTTGAAAATGAATGCAACAAGTTGTATATTGAATTATTCTGTACTCTCCATGTCTTCAGAATATGAACTTATTTAGGTACCCTAACACAGAGGATGGACAGTGTTCATTGTTGGGGATGTGTGATGGGTTGAATTTAGAAAAAAATATACAAATTTGATTTGGAGCAACTTGAGTTGGAGAGACCTTTAAGACAGTGTAAATGTTGAGTAGATAATTAGATACACAGGCATACAGCTCAGAGGAAAGAGCTGTACTAAAGATGAATACTGGGAATCATCCCTGAGTAGAACATGATTGAAACCAGGGTGGCAGGCAAGATCAAGAGTGAGAAGTACAGAACAAAAGACTGTAGACTTGAGAAAACTGTGAAACTGATAGATCGGAATGAGCTGGTCAAGGAGACTAAGAAACAATGACTCTAGAGTAGGAGTGCTAGGCAGACCCCATGCTACAGCCAATGACATGAATACTGCTCAGACGTTACGCCAACACACCTATGTCAGGAAAAACAAGCCATAACTGGGAGAAGCTATGGATAGAAGGGGAGATCAAGGAAGTGTCTGTGCCTCCTCTTTCACTGGTGGGTTCAGGATTTAGGTCTTTGTGATGAGTCCTATATGACTTTGTAATTACTGATGTCTACCAGGTCTAGGTATATCTGTAATGCATCACTTAATCCTCATGTGAATCCTGTGTATTTCAGATAAGTTAATGACTTGTCCAAATTTTCACAGCTACAAAGAGGCATCACTGGGATTCAAGCTCAGGTCTGTCCAGTTCCAAATTTCCCATGGGAAATTTCTTCCACTGTTTCTCAAAAATACTTTACTATCAGATAACCCTGGAATTAACTAAAGAAATTCCTAGGCAATTCACTGGAGATGGACAGTCTCCAGGTTTTAACTATATCTTGAGAGTAGATATTTTTCTGAACGTTCCCAAGAACTCTAATGATTTCTTTCCAACATGGGGTTTATTGGCTTCCACAGTACTTCTAGTGAATAAACCAAATACAACAATACATTAGTAGACCACAGAAAAGTTTTTTGTTGTTGTTGTTGGTCATGGGGGCTGAACTCTGGGCCTGGGCACTGTCCCTCAGCTCTTCAGCTCAAGGTTAGTTCTCTACCACTTAAGCCATAGTGCCACTTCTGGCTTTTTCTGCTTATGTGGTGCCAAGGAATCAAACCCAGGTCCTCATGCATGCAAGGCAAGTGCTCTACCATTGAGCCACCTTCCCAGCGCAGAAGATTTTTTTTATAGAGTATAATTGAAAAAATTGAGTTTAAAGAAGGCAGATATTTAGTCACTTAAAATCATCTGTTTGTAACTTCTTATATCCAGGGTATTGCTTTGATAAGAAGAGATGAGAACTCTCAATCCTTGTCTTCTAGTCTCAATCTTTCAACTTAAATTTACATTTCAGGCAAGGGTTAAATGGTAGATGTCTTTAAGACCTCTCTCCAGGCAACTAATTGCTTGTCTGCCCTTGAAAGAACGAAAACACCCACATTATTCCTCCACAAAAACCACTAGATGGCAGCAATTGACACATAAACAGGGTCCATTTGCACTTGTTCTGAGAATTACCAAAAAACATGTTAGGAACATTGACCTCATCTAGATAAATATACCTACAGCTTAAGAAATTAAATTCCCCAAAAACAAACTCCCAAAGAAACAATTATCCCATTAAAAAGTGGGCAAAAGACTCTGAAGAGGAAATACAAATGGCCAAGAGACACATGAAGAATTGCCCAACAACTCTAGCCATAAATGCAAGTCAAAACAATATTGAGATTCCACCTTACCCCAGTTAGAATGGCCATTATCAAGAAATTTAATAACAACAGATGTTGGTGGAGATGCAGCCAAAAGACAACGCTTCTACACTGTTGATGGGAATGCAAACTTGTCCAACCACTTTGGAAAGCAGTATGGAGGTTCCTCAAAAAACTAAACATAATAAAAGATGAAAGATTTATATGATCTGAAGAGAAACTGTACTCATGTAACTGTAACCCCTCAGTACAGTATTTTTACAATAATATATATGAGGGAAAAAAAAGACTAAACATAGAGCTTCCCTATGATCTAGCAATCCTTCTCTTGGGCATTTACCCAAATGGCCACAAACAAGGCCATACTAAAGCTACCACCACAACCATGTTCATTGCAATATTATTTACCATAGCTAAGATATGGAACCAACCCAGATGCCCTTCAATAGAAGAATAGATCAAGAGGACGAGGTATATATGCACAGTGGAGTTCTATGCTTCCATCAGAAAGAATGACATTGTTCAATTGGTAAGGAAATATAAAGACTTGGAAAAAATTATATTAAATGAAGTAAGGCAGACCCAAAGATAAGTAGGTTGCATGATTTCCCTTATTTGTAAGAACTAGAATATGTCTACAATATTTTTAAAATATTTTTTGTCTACAACATTCTTAACAAGGGATCTCAATAACCCAACTGCTTAGCGCATAGGACCATATATAATGAAGCATATCAACATGAACTCCAATATATGCAAACAAGAGGTTCTTATGCCCTGTAGGTAGTTTTTTAAAAAATTTCTCTTCATTTTCTGTATGTTGTACCTTATATAAGATTATTCACTATGTGGAAGAGAAAGAGAATCACAGAAACAGCAGGACAAAGGATGAACCAAAGTAACATTGATACTTAACACTATGTTGGATATGAACCTTACAACTTGGGGGAGGGGAGGGAAAAGGATCAGTGGGAGATAATGAAGGATGGGGTAACTGATTAAAAAACAAATGTACTCATTACCTTACATAACTGTAACCTGTTCATCACTTTTTCAATAAAAATAAAATTTAATTAAATTAAAAAAAGAGAATTGACCACATCTAAATAAACCAGTCAAGTGATATTGCCTCAGGATTTGGGGCTCCTATGCATGGTCCTTTTCTCTACCTAGGAAGTGACATGCCTCAATTCATCTTCTTCACAAAGAACATGATGGGAAAGAAGTACTAGACAATTGATGGAATGATACTCCTCCTTCAATTTCTGAATTATCTGGCTTCTTATACAAATCAATGGTCAGCATAATCAGTTGGAAAGTCTGCTAGAAGGTTCAAGAACCAGAATGAGACCATAGACCACAAGTCTCTGACCTTGGTGATAGACACTGACCTGAATGTTTTTGCTTTTGTTTACTTGTAAGAACTGGAAGGTGGGCCAGAGCAACTAGAAAAAATGTAAACCTGGGCTAGCATCAAGACTTAGGAATGTGTCCTTTAAAGTTCTAGGAAGCAGAAAAAGGTATCCAGGACACCTTTTCTCAGTATGGAGAAATCACAAAGCTAAGGAAGAATTGCTGATCAAGGCCTTGCAAACAATTCATGTCTTAATAGCATCCTTTGCTCCGAACAACTAATAATGAAAAACACAAAAGTGAAAAAGATATAGCTAGCTTGGCCTTAATACAAGACAAACATTTCCTTAGGCTGAGAAACTGAATAGAAATGTTAGAATGTGTGTATGTGAGGGGAGGGAAGAGAGAGAGACAGAGACAGAGACAGAGACAGAGAGACAGACAGAGACAGAGAGAGACAGACAGAGAGACAGAGAGACAGAGAGAGAGACAGAGAGAGAGAAACAAAGAGACAGAGAGAAACTGGTCCATAAGGCGTTTAGGGCTTCTGCTGGCTGTGAGTTATTTCTACTTGTTAAAAGGGATCTAAAATGCTCCACAGGGCAGGAAATCAGAGCCAGGCTCTCAGCTTGAAATTAAGATATGAGTTGAATATGAAGAAGATGAGACTGTACAACAATAAATCCAGACACTTAGGTAAATGGACAATTTCCTGGAAACATACATTAGCAAGAAGAATAAGCTGTGTAAATAAACTAAGAGACATAAAAGAGATTAAGTTAGTAAGAAAATTTCTGACTTCCTTAAAAGGACAAGTGGCCAAGAAAAAAGGTATTTAAAGATACTTTAAAGATATTTTACTAAACTTAAGAGGAACAGATAACACATGTTAGAACAAATATTTTAGAGACTAGAAAAGAGCTAGAAGTAATCAATTCATTTCACAAGACCACAGAGAAATAAACTAAGATCCGTTTCACTTATTAAAATAGAGAACACAAAGTATTAGAAAATCCAATTTCTCAATGTATTTACTTATTTTTGTGCCAGAACTGGTGCTTGAATTTGGGGCCTGGGTGCTGTCTCTGAGCTTTTTGCACTCAAGGTGCTCTACCACTTGAGCCACAGTTCTACTTCCATCTTTTTGGTGGGTAATTGGAGATAAGTGCCTCATGGACTTTCCTGCCTGGGCTGGGACACTATAAAATATCATTGAAAGATGAAAAAGAAACAAAGAGTAAATAGACTATATTCATGGTTCAGGAGACTCCATGTTGTCTGATACCAAAAATAACACCTCTCACAGCAGATTCCTAATACTTTTCCTCTCTTCTTATTTATTCATTCAGTATTCAACACAAACCTATTGATCACTTAGTATGTGTCCAACACTGTTCTGGCCCCTTGGATATATTAGTGAAGACAGAAAAAAAATCCCTGCTTCTGTGAAGATGATTTTCTAACATTGAAGGCAAGGAAGTAGTGAAGGAAATACGCAATGAACACAGTGGATATGACTAAAGCATTTGATATGTTAGATGGAAGATGGTATAGAGATAAAAACAAGATAGTGAAGGGCAAGGGAATCAGAAGGGCTGGGATGAGGGTTGTAATTGTTAACAAGTTGGTCAGGCTTGGCCTTATAGGGATGGTAAAATTCTAACAAATTTTGGAGATGAGGGAATTATCCAATTATCAATCTAAGGGTGAGCGGTAAGAAGGGAGTGTGTGTGTGGTACCCCAAGTTAAGCGGGGTTTGGGATATTATATGAGAAGGTGATGAGGGGCTTTCCTGGTCAACTCTTTCACATAGGGGAAGCATTCAATCCTGGCAGAGACTCCCAGTTCCGAGATGAAAAACCTTAGTTCATGACCTTTATATACTTGAGGAGTAGATGTTCAGGAAGTAGAGGGTGCCAAATGTGCAACTCAAATTATTTAGGATGCAATTAAGTTTGGTTTAATAATTAAAAATACTTTTAGAATTTTCTTTGGCAGAGATCAGGCTATTAATTAACATGTCATGGGAACCTAGCATTTATTATTCTCTCAAAAACCCATTTGTGGTGGAAAATGTGCTGAGCCTCATTTGTGAAGATAATTATAGCTGATATCTTTGGTAGTGTCTGCCAAGTTCCTAGTGATTTCCCTTTTCTCTCAGAGCTGACTCCAGAATCTACAGGGTGACTCCTCCGCCCACAGTTCTACTGTGTGAACATGTCTTCTGCTCAGAGCTCATTGGATCAGAGCCGAAAAATCACAAGCAAAGCTGAACCAATAAGATCTTTACCTCCAGGAATTTGGAATCAGAGCCTGGAAGGTCAAGACAATCTGTCCACTTGACTGGAACCTAAGATGTAAGTCATATTTTATCAAATAGATCTGAGGAGCAGAGAAAACTGATCTTCAGGGGAACTTAAAGCAAATGTACAGAGGAGAGCATAGAGTTGCACTTAAGGCATAATTCTTCCCTAAGTTTAGATGATTCTCTGTTCTTGTGTTCACTAAGATATTTTTCTATGCTAATAATTAAGAGACATTGATTGCATTGGCTAGTCAGTTGGACTTCTAATACAGTAATATTGGAGGTAGCAGTAGCAGAGAGAACCTTGATTGTGGAATGTTGGGTCTGATCATTCATCTGTTTATTCATTCACACACTTTTTTGTTGTGCATATTGCTAGTGGTTGAAGATAAGAGATGTAGTAAGAGAGTTTTTGCATTAAAGTAATACTTTTCTTGAGTTTTCATTTTTAAAGCTGTCTGTTAGTATAGAGGTAAAGTGTTAGAGCTGGAAAGATCACTAGGAAAATCAAAATCCAACTACAAGTTGGGTGCTGGTGGCTCACACCTATAATCCTAGCTATTCAGGAGGCTGAGATTTGAGGATTGTGGTTTGAAGCCAGCCATGGCAGGTAAGGCTGTGAAACTCTTATCCTCCAATTAATTCCCAGAAAACTGGAAGTAGCACTGTAGCTCAAAGTGATAGAGCATTAGCCTTGAGTGAAAAAGCTTGGGGATGGTGCCCAGGTCCCGAGTTCAAGGCCATGACCAACCAACCAACAAACCCAAGCACAGCTTATTAAAGAATGATAGATACTACGAGTACTTTGTAAACCATAGCATATTATGCTGGTTATAGTATACTTCTGCCTGAGTCAATCCTTGATTCAATCAGCTTAGCAGTTTCACAATGATATATCTTCAACACTCCTTAAAAAAGATATTTGGTTTAAGAATAAAACAAATTTTAGCGTTGTTTAGTTTATTCAGAGATATACTCATTGTTTTTGCACACAACTTTAAAGATATTAATTTATTACAGATATGCTTTATTTTTTTTAAACTAAGCAATATAATTCAAGGCTTCTAATTTTTGGAAAAAGGTACTTTTTTCCCCTGCAACCACAGACTATAATAACTTCAAACAATAATTTTGAGCTTCTGGAGAATTAAGTAAATAAAACCAATGGAAATAGAAATAATCCTTAACAAATGAGTTCCTGGGTTTGATCCAGGCATCCGGGTGATTTGTAAGCAGGTGGGTTGGGGCTATAATTCCTTTTCTCAAATGTCAGTGATAGATCCTGCTCACAAGAGAGCACCAAACCCTCCTGTTAACTGATGCACATTTTCAAAGACCACTCTGATTCCTTTTCCTTTCTAGGGTAAGATTTCTTAGAATTTGTAGCTCTCTAAAGGAAATCCATTAAAGTTTTATTAAGGTGAATGATTGAAAGCTCTAGCTTTATTACCTTAGAATCCAATGCCTAATTTAAAGAACCAGTTGACATCTAGGATGATAAAAGGCTAGGGATTGAAAAAGGTATTAGAGATCATGTACACTGATGCAAAAAGTGCAGATTTGGAAGACTGGCTGATATTTAGCCTTTGTGTCTTTGGGCAAATAACCCTCTTTACTATATCTATAAAACAAAACTAAGACTTTCTCATGGGGGTTAAGTGATGAAATGAATGACATAGCTCAAGTTGCCTAGTGTAGTAGTTGACTTGTAGTAGGTAATAATCATGTAAGTGGCTGTTATTTATCACATGTGGTTTTCATAACCCTCAACGAATCACTGGTAGATCACATCCTTTAAGTTCCCATGCCTCTGTCTTTGCTGCCACACTCATTTTGGTTGTCTTAAAAAGTGAAATCATCTCTGAAGCAAATCCTAAGTAGTTTCTGCAATTGGCCACATTTTCTGAAAACATTTTTCATTAACAGCTTAGTTAATAGTTACCATTAAATCCAAGAAATTCCTTATGAAGCTGTTTAAATTCATCTTACTTGAAGTCTTCGGGGTGGATGCCTTTTAATAATACTTGTTTCTCTAGGTTCCAGTGGGATGTCAAAATACATGGCCGTGGGTACTTGAAGGACTGGAGGCAGAAACAAGAAAAAAACCACTAAACAATTTACCATTAGATTAGGAAATTTGACTGACCATGAGTTAGTAGACTTTGTCAACACAATTTTTCTCCTTTTAGTCACGGATGTATAACCCATATATCAAGTGTGGAGATAAACCATCTATAGCAGGATCCCTCCATAAATGCAAATGATAAAATATTGGCCTAAAATTGTGCCTCCTCATTCCATTCCCAGCTTGATATTTAAAGGAAAATAATTACCAAAACCTTAAACATCTGGATTGACGGGTTGGAAAAAGAAAGGGGGGCAGAAATCTGTCAGTAGAACTAAGGAAAATTTCCACTGCTGTGCTGAAGAAGTTGAAAGAGTATTATTTGAAAATAATATTTGAAAAAAAAGTGACAACTAGTCAATGTTGTCAATTGTGTGCAAAGTAGCCATGGAGGTCATTCTGGGCATGATTTGCTAGTTATCACAAGAACATACAAAGCACTCTCACCAAGACATCCATTAAGGGGACATATTTATATTGTTGATCCAGAATATGAAGAAGAAACAAATGAAATACATATATGTATTATATGGTATATGTGCATGTGCTTTTCTACCCAACTTAGAATGTCTGCTTAAATATCATTTTGATTCCCGCAAAACATGCTACATGTCTTACAAGATATCCCAGGATAATTTCTAGGCTCAGAGCTCCCAATCATCATGGAAAATATTTCCCTTAGTTCTGTAGCTAACCATAAAAAACATGGAGTTAGGCAAGGGTGACTCATCCACTGTCCTACAAAATAAATCATTTCTGCTTGGAGTGGTTGCAAAATTCCCATTCCTAAAGTGCGACTTTGTTTTTGCTGATACTGAGGCTTGAACTCAGGGCCTGGGTGCTGTCCTTGAGCTCCTTTGCTCAAGCACTCTACCGCTCATGCCATAACTGAACTTCTGGCTTAAAAAAAATTATTGGAGATCAGAGTCTCACAGACTTTCCTGTGTGGGCTGGCTTCAAACTGCGATCCTCAGATCTCAGCCTCCTAAGCAGCTAGGATTATAGGTGTGAGTCTGGTGCCTGGCTAACGTTCTGCTTTGAAAACCACAAAGCCCGATGCATTAAACTGTACTGGAGATAATGACTTAAATTTAGAATCTACTGAAACATAATTGTCATCATTTATCACATCCATATCCATATGATGTCAACAGCCTAACAAAAGCAAGCATAAGCACAGAAAGTAGTAGAAGCTAAGGTGAAATACAATAATTTTTCCTTCTCATTTGGAATGTACATGATCGGGTTTGTACAATCGTGGAGTTTACACAATCATTCTTACGTACCAAAAGTCTTTAAATTGGCAACCATTCAATTCTCAGCTTAACCATCCAGACTTCATTCTCAATCATCTCTGCTTTGTGAGATCACAGTCACTTAAACCTAGTAACAACTTCCTTTAGTCCAGACACGCAATCTCATGCTGAATGTTTACCTGCAGAAGGTCCTCTGTACCAGGATTCTCGCAGAGGTGGTAGCTGCTCTTCCAAAGCTTTATTCCCATCCTGCAGTTTTTCAAATGAATAGGAACTCTTTTCTTCCAACTTCTGACTGGATGACAAGTGCGTAGAGCCAGCTGAGGGAATCTTGGCTTGTTTGTTTTGCAAAGGGGTGACTTTGGTCACCCGAGGGTGAGCCCTGGAGTGATTCAGGCCCATTTCTCACGAAGCTATTCAAAGAAAAACCATGATGGTGGGTTGAGAACCTTAATGTAGCTTTTAAAATTAAGATATTTCCAGAAGCTTACCCCAGTTTTACAAAGCAATCATTTCCTTCATGACATCTTTCCATCTCTATTTCACCACACAGTAACCTTTCTGGCCACTTCCTGGAAGACTGGTTTCTATGGAGATTTCCTTCCAACTCCTAGTTGGCTATTCCAGACCAAAAGAATGCAGTTAAACATTGACTTGGTTATGCCAGGTTCTGAAAAACTCAGTGCTATTGATCATTAAACAAATACCTACCACCAGGAACATTAACAGAGATGCAGAACATAGATTTAGAGAAGTCTTAAACTTGACCCTTTCATTGCAAGTAATAACAGAAAAGTTAAACCATCTTTGGAAATGCATATCAATTACAGTGGGCTTTGTTAATCTTTCCTTTCAGAGAACATGTCTTCCAATTAGGACAAGAAACAGCAGAATAACAACAAATCCATTTGAGTTTTTTCTGTTCATAACTTTGGAGGTGAAGAGTTCATGGAGGGCAAAAATACAATGTAAGCTGTTATTTTTTTTCTCCTGGGAATGAGGGCCCAAACTTGCATTAAAAAATTTTGTTCTTTATGTACATATGACCATATAAGATGATGTTAAGCAAACTGAACCCCAACATAGGGACACAAATATTTTTTTCTTGCTTGCTATTGTTTCTAATGTATTTATAATGTACCATGTAATTTTTTTTCTATGTATGTTCCTCCCCCACAGTATAACTGTATTTGATGTCGGTGCCCTGCATCTTGTATATACACTTCTCTAATTTGGGGAGGGGAAGGGAAATAACAAAATGGTGAAATAAGTATACAGGATGATCCATTGTATCAATGAGATGTACAAGACAGTGTATTGTAAACGAACTTTATAACTTTGTGGGGGAGGAGAGGGAAGAGTTGGGGAGGTGGGGAGGAAAGGGATGGTAGGGGAAAATAAAGGAGGGTGTAATAATGCTCAATAGGAAATGGACTCATTACCTTACTCATGTGACTGTGATCCCTCTGTATCTTTACAATAATATCTATATCTATCTCTCTATATATATAGAAAAAAAGTTTTGTACAAATGACTTTCTGGGCTGCAGGTCTTTAGGTCAGGAGTCCACCTGCAGTCGCTGGCTTTCTAATAAAGATTCCCAGTTTGACCTCTCAAGATGTGGCCTCTCTGTATCTCATAAAGGAATTCCCGTCTAACATTCTCTCTCTCTTTGCTTTCATGCTGGTCTTGGGGCTTGAAATCAGGCACTATTTCTGAGCTTTTTTTGTTTAAGGCTAGAGCTCTCCTACTTGAGCCATACCTCCACTTCTGGCTTTTTGGTGGTTTATTGGAGTCTCATGGACTTCCATGCCTAGGCTGGCTTTCAACAGCAGTCCTCAGATCTCAACCTCCTGAGTAGCCATAAAACCTGCCTGCTTCTCTTTTGATTACTAGTCAATTCTAAACTTGTGATTTTCACAGGTTATCAATTACCTGACCTGTAAAATGAGATTAATAATAGTATTTCCTGAAGAATGAATCAGTCAATCAATGGAGTCCATTTCTAGGACTTAGAATAATATCATGAGTTCATAGTAAGCATCAGCCAGTATTCTCTTCCTCCAGTACTAAAACTTGTGGATGCTGAAATCTCTCATCTTTCCATATTCTTGAAATAATATCTAGACTGCTTATAATGCTTAAGGTCATGTAAATACTTATGCGAAGGCTAGTTATATTGTTTAGGGAATAGTGATTTTAAAAAACCAAGTCTGTACAAGTTGAGACTTAAAACATTTTTTTTTTGCCAGTCCTGGGCTTAAACTCAGGGCCTGGGCATTGTCCCTGAGCTTCTTTTTGCTCAACGTTAGCATACTACCACTTGAGCTACAACACTATTTCCAGCTTTTTCTGTTTATGTGGTCCTGAGGAATCGAACCCAGAACTTCACGCATGCTAGGCAAGCACTCTACCACTGAGCCACATTCCCAGCTCCAACTTTTTTTTTGATTGCACAGTTGGTTAGAACTGTGTATAGGGAGCCTGGTATGGAGACCAATTGTATTAAGCAGATGACAACTGCTCAGGTAAAATTCCTTGGGTTGGGTGGTAGCTATATGAATCCAGGTTGGTTAAATTGCTTTTTGTTCCTTTGGCATATAGTTTGCTCGGAAGGGCTTTAGATAGAATTTAAAATAATGTGTACATAAATATTCCTTGGGGTTGTATTTAATTTCACATATAAGTTCATTATTATGTATTCAGTCAGTAGGTTTAAATCCCAAATGTTTACAGGATTCCTAAATTATGTTCTAATAAACTAACTGCCCTTCTGCAATTGATCTGTAATGGATAAGCAATCACTGGAGCTTTTCAACAATGTGAGTTATGTGATTGCCAACTAAGCAGAGTCAGTGTCTGACCCCAACTGTAATTTTCCTCTTAGTCATGATTTTGCTTTATATTTCCTTCTACATTGGGTAGTAAGGTAACAATGCAACCAGACCTACTTAGCTTGGAGGTGCTCAGGCAAAACACATATTAAAAAAGCATTCTGAAAATTTCATAATAAACTGTAAGATGAGTGAAATTTTTATCTTTACACTTTAAATGTAGTCTGCCAGTGCACCATTGAATGAATCAGCTTGTCACCTGCCTGTGCTAACTCTGAAAATAGCCAGTGGGTGACTTTCACAAAAATGCATTGCTAAGGGATTTACTTAAATGAAAAAGTAATTGTATATTTTATCTGTCATTGGGCATATCAGCCTTTCGTTATGCCAATACTTTTTAAATCATCTTTGTAAAATCATCTTTTCTCTCTCAGGCACGTGCGCGCGCGCACACACACACACACACACACACACACACACACACACACATACACACATACTGTAATTTAATTATAGTCCATGACCTTGTTTGATCTAAATGATCACTTGGGATATATGCCTAAGTAAATAATATCTATTTTTCTCCTAAAGCAAAACCAACAAAATAACCTTGCTCTGGTTGATTTTGAGACGCTTTTAATTTTGAGACATTTAAATTGTGCAGAAGTTAGAGGTATTCCAGCTTCTGAGTAGTGTGGTGATTCAGATATCTGAAAATTCAGGTGAGCTGAAATGGCTCAGAGTGAAGCTTCTGCTGTCGTCCTTGAACTAAATGTCAGTGTAGCCAGCACTAGCACCTGGGCGCCAGAAATCCCAACTGTCAGCTGTGGGCTTTGAAAAACATTTGCACTGTGGTCAGCCCAAGATAGTCAGTTATCCTGTTGTGGGGAAAATCTTTTCTTTGATGAAAATAATAATATTGATAGGAAATGTAGAGGATATCAAATAAGAGACCAGTCCCAAAGATTCCTCTTTCCTTGCACTTTTTTTTTGGGGTGCCAGTCCTGGAGCTTGAACTCAGGGCTTGGGCACTATCCCTGAGCTGCTTTGGCTCCAGGCTAGAGCTCTACTACTTGAGCCATAGCACCACTTCCGGCCTTTACTGAGGATGTTATTGGAGATATGCATCTCACAGATTTTCCTGCCCAGGCTGATTTCAAACTGTGATCCTTTGAATTCAGCCTCCTGAGTAGCTAGGATTACAGGCATGAGCCACCAGCTCCTGGCTTCCTTTCACTTCATTCTTTTTATTTCTCATTAAGAATATTACATAGAAGTTTCAGGGCATCTCAGATTCTGCTGTGTTTTCTTCCCCAAGGATTGCCTATCTTTTTTTTAATTTTTATTGTGAAAATACTGTGCAGAGGGGTTACAATTACATGGGCAAGGTAATGAGTACTTTTCTTATCTAGCATTGGTGCCTCCTCCTTTGTTTTCCCTTCCCATCCTTTCCCGTCCCCCCCCAAGTGATAAAGTTCATTTTTCGACATAACGACTTGTACATCTCATTGTTGCAATGGGTCCACCTGTATCCCCATTTAAACCGTTTGTTTTTGCCCTTTCCCTCCACAAATTATACCAACATCAAATACAATGAAAGCAGGGGTTATACCGTGGGGGAGGGACATACAAAGCAACAAAGAAATCATCTATAAATATGTTAGAAACAATCACAAGAAAGAAAAAATCATTTGGATACTTATCTTAGGGTTCATTCCCCTAACTTCAACTTATCTGACCATTTCTGCTTGACTCAGACATGTACTAGTTATTGCAAATAAGGGAAACCATGGGACCTATGTTTCTTTGGGCCTGGCTTACTTCACTTAATATAATTTTTTCCCAAGTTTTTCCATTTCCTAACAAATGTGGCAATGTCATTCTTTCTGACGGAGGCATAGAATTCCATTGTGTATATATATATCACATTTTTTAGATCCATTCATTTACTGAGGGGCATCTGGGTTGGTTCCATATCTTAGCTATGGGAAATAATGCTTGATAAACATAGTTGTGCTTGTAGCTTTTATGATCATTTGGGTAAATGCCCCAAACTGGGATTTGTGGGTCATAGGAGAGCTCTATGTGGAGTCTTTTGAGGAACCTCCATACTACTTTCCAAAGTGGTTGAACAAGTTTACACTCCCACCAACAATACAGTAGAGTTCCCTTCTGTCCACATCCCCTCTAGCATCTGTTGTTATTAGCATTCTTGATTCTAGCCATTCTAACTGGGATGAGTGGTATCTCAATGTTGTTTTGATTTGCATTTCTTTTATGTCTAGAGAGGTTGAACATTTCTTCATGTGTCTATTGGCCATCCTTCTTTCCTTTTCAGAGAAGTTTCTCTAAGTCTTTAGCCCACTTATTTATTGGGCAGTTGTTTCTTTGAGGATTTGTTATTGGGGGATTTAATTTTTTGATTTCCAGGAATATTTTATTTTTTTTAACTGTATTTTTTTTGTCTTTTCTTTTTTGGTACTGGGGATCGAACCCAGGACATTGCACTTGCTAGGCAAGCGCTTTGCCACTGAGCTACATCCCAGCCCTCCAGGAATATTTTAGATATGAGACTCTTGTCCATTATATGGCTAGTGAAGATCTTCTTCCAATCCGTGGGCTTTCTATTAATCTTGCTAGCTATGTCTTTTGCCATGCAGAAGCTCTGCAGTTTCATAAGGATTGCCTATCTTTTACTCAGGGCC